TCATGCGAATAGCTTGCACGCAAGGAACGTTAGGAATTTTTACGAACACTATTTTTAGTTTTTAATTCTTTTAGGAAATAGACTTGCCTAGATTTAATATTTACGCCCCAGATATTATTTACATCGGAGTTGCGTCATATATTGTACTCAGATTCAAACAACACAATGTCATTATGTCAATGACTTCATAAAAGTAAAAGCATATTGTGTATTGGCCTATTGGGGTTACACTTTACAGGTTCATTTAACTTTAAGTCTTTAACTCTCTCAAGTCTCAACAGATAATCGGACATGCCAAACCCATTGATATGACAAATTGACAACTTCAAAAAACTTTCTTTCGAAGCTAGAAATCATGATTTTTTTCAAATGTTTCCTGGGGTACTTTGTTTCTGCTCTCTAGACTCCCCTCGCGGCTCTAGTGCTCCACCCCTAGAATATAGACCTTACTGGGGTTTGGTGACACTTTGTGTTGCTTCAGTTGCCTGCTCATGGCTCACCCCCCTAAAATTTCTGGCACCACCCCAGTAATAAATATGAAAATCCGTCTATGGTTAGAACTCATTTCGTCTATGTACAGTATGTTGACTGTGCAGATAGTCCAGACAGGAGGATATTGGTCGAATTGTTACTACCGTACTATCTATGGGCACTGAACCATAAGTGGTTCTTCTAAAGTGATAATAAAACTATTCTACGGATATAGCTACTAGGACCGTGGTTTACAATTACAATGACATGCAATAACAATGACTCAATGAGTAGTTCCGCCTATGTAAACTAGTATAAAACTATGATTTGTTCTTTTTTGATAAAAATCTATATTGTTCTGGTGGTTGCTGTATGCCATGACTCCTGCTCTGTGTCGATAGGTTGCCTTGTGTAGGATTTTGCATTCATCAAAGTTGATTTTGTGGTCCTGAATCCAAGCATGTTTTGCTATATTAGAAGCGGATTTACATTGTTGCACGTTCTCTTATGTTCCTCTTTTCGAGAGCTCTGCCGGTCTGACCTATATAGCTCCAGGAGCAGTCTGCACAAATCTTGTATACAACGTTGACCAGTCTGTTTTTCGGAAGTGGTCTGTTTTTCGGGAAGTGGTCTGTTTTTCGGGAAGTGGTCTGCCTTTGGTGACGGAAAACGTTGTTCTAAAGTTAGCTATATCCGTAGAATAGTTTAATTTATATTTATAGTATCACTTTACCTGTCGAAGACTGCAGACTGGCAATCAAAAGCTTGTGTTTAAATAAATTTTACAATCAGAGAACGTTTCAAAAACTTTAGTATTGACAGTGCCTTCAGACTTTCACTTACATTTTTGAAAATATAATTCTGAAACAAGTACAAGCGATATCATTTTATCCATTTTATTAGTAATTTGGAATATTTAACCATTTTATTAGTAATTTGCAATAAATTATTATGTAAATTATAGTCAACTTGAAAATGACGTGTGAAATAGCATTGAAAAGGTTGTAAAATAAAATTTATATTGCTTGCATTTGTTTCAAAAATACTTTCACTTACAGTTCCAATGTTCCATAAAATAAATATAACTAACTTAAAGTTATTCTATAATTCACATATAGGTTTTCTGTGTTTGAAGCTTTAAAAAACCGAGCATGTGATGAAAATACATATAAAAATAAAAATATATAAAATAAAATAAATATAACTTAACTTAAAGTTATTACCAAGTTAACACTTCTATAATTCACATATAGGTTTTCTGTGTTTGAAGCTTTAAAAAACCGAGCATGTGATGAAAATGGCAATTTAACACAAGCAAATATTTTATTATGTGGTCTTGGAGCAGGATTGTCTGAAGCTGTACTTATTGTTTGTCCAATGGAAACTGTTAAAGTGAAATTTATTCATGATCAAACCCAACCAAACCCAAAATATAGAGGATTTCTCCATGGTGTATCAACTATGATCAAGACGGATGGTAAGTGATTGGCAAACATGTTGACTTGTATATTAAAACTGTCTGTACCAGTGTGAGTAGTACCAATGTGAAAATGCTGCGCTGAGTGGTTATATTACTACTTTGAAAAAAAAAAACCCCAGAAACTCGATGTTTTGAGCGAAGGCCCTTTTTGGCTACTAACTCTTGACGGAGGGCCTTCGCTCGAAACGTCGAGTTTCTGTTTTTTTTTGTTTTTTTTTAAAGTAGTAATATAACCACTCAGCGCAGCATTTTGACTTGTATATTGACTGGTAATATTCTATATGGTTTATCTAGCAATAACCATTCCATAGAATACTTTCTACAGGTTCAGATTTGACTTCCACCACCACTCACTGGCTCAGAATGCATTTGATTGGTTAATCATAGTCCATTAATGATGGCGGTGGCGATAGTGGAAGTCAATTCTGAACCTCTCTGTCCTGCAGTAGGATGCTGTAACAATGCAATGTGAAACGCTTTTCATGCAAACGTGTTGTTGGTTTGGGTTCCGAAAGGTATATCGCAAATGGAAAATGTTACTATTTTAGTAACAAATCACTTCGAAGGTTTGAATCATATTTGATCAAGAAAGGGTCAGCCTTCATCACCCAAGATCATCTCTAAAGCTAACCTCACGTGAGTGAGATCAGGTGCCTTTTGTTATGTTTGTATAAGATAAATATCAACTCTCGTGGAAATTGGGAAAACTCGAAATTGTGTGGAAAAAATTCCGCCCTTCAGGCGTCGTGTTTCCACACAATTTCTCGTTTTCGCAATTCCCACTCGTGTTGATAAAACTGTATATCAACACGGAAAATGTTTAACAACAGTTTTATAGTATAGTATTTGTAAATTCTGAACGCTAATTGGCTAAGAGCTGTGTTGACATAACTCAATGTCAACACGGAAAATTTCTTTCTTTATATTTCTTTGTGCTATATTATAAAAAAAATATAAAACATTTTTGTATCTGCGCGTAGCGCTGGATACTATGCTATCGAGTTGTGTGTGTATGTGCGTTAAACACTCAGGTCGACCAATTAGGGCTGTACGCCTGTGAACAGGCAGTAAAACAAATATGGCGGCTTTCTCGCAGATGCATGTACGCCAAGCGTACCTATTTTTCCGTATTGATATACAGTTTTATATGATAAGCACTTTCATTGGTAGAGAGCCATGATCTATTGGAGGACAGACGCACGGAATTACGTCACACAAAATGATATCAGACTGTGACATATTCCCACATTATGATGTCATTACATATTCCCACATTATGATGTCATTACATATTATAAAATAACATGTATATAACGCGTGCTCTGATTGGTCGAAACCCGTGTTTGGATCAGGCCATCCAAACACGGAAGACTATCGTGTTGTTGTTATTTTATAAAACAATTACTTTATGGTTTCCCTGTTAGGATGACCTGATCCAAACACTTGGGAATGTTGCTCGAGTTAAGAAAAGCGCGCAAAATCACTCGCCTTCGGCTCGTGTTTTCGCGCGCTTTTCTTAACTCTCGCAACATTCCCGCGTGTTTGGATCAGGCCATCCAAACACGGAAACCATAAAGTAATTGTATATTCCCACATTATGATGTCATTACATATTCCGGAAAGGTCTATTGCACAGTGCTCAGATAGTTCCCGTTCGTCGATGTGGGCATTTACTGTATCCTAACTAAAGAATTCCTTTTGACGAGTAACATCGGAGTAACATCGTTTGGTGTTTTCCAGAATATAATATTTTTGCAGAGTTCTGTTGGTAAGCCATATAAATATGCAACGACATGTCACAAAAACCTAACCCCATTTTTTTTATAATTTTTCAACAACCAGGTATAACTGGAGTATACCAAGGTCTTCTACCGACGATGTTGAAGCAAGGAACCAATCAAATGATCAGATTTTTCGTGTATTCGAATTTAAAGTCATGGCTACAAGAAGGAGATAATTCAAAAGATATTGGCGCAGTTCGTACCTTCTTGATTGGTGGTGTAGCTGGAGCTGCAAGTGTGTTTGGGAATACTCCGGTTGATGTTGTGAAAACCAGAATGCAGGTGAGGTGTAGAACGCCGAAACATGCATGTCCCCATGTCTGCAGATTGTACTATATACTGTACTTGAATTTATTTAATTATGCTCTGGATATCGAACTGAAAGTTTTTATCTGCCAAAATTGGACAACTATCGTTACATGGTGTTGTATTTATCATTTATAGACCCGGAGCGAGGCGGATTCGGCGAAATATATTACCCGAAGTGATATTTCCCGAGGCCGCTTTGCCCCGAAGGAAATATAATCGCTGAGGGTAACATTTTGCCGAATTCCCCGAGCGGGAGGTGTCTATAAATTATATAATATACCGAAAGTTAAAGAACCCACTAAATTCGTGTGAAAAAAAATATTTAAATTACAATCCAGAGAACACTATAATTTGTAAAAAATTGTGAAAATTTGGACAAAATTGTAAATGAAACAAACTTACAACTTACATTATTAAAATTGCTCGTCTAACCTCATTTATTATGCAATCCGACAGATTACGGTCTACCGTAAACCTCCAATTTATGCCCTGGGCTTGTATTCGTTCGCAACCATTTCTTATGGGCTTATACATGGCAGGGTTTAGGGGCCGACCATTTAACTTTTGAAGGGGGTCGCGTTTACTGCTGGCGGGGAATGTACGATTTTTTTTCCACTCTCTTTCGCAACATTTTTTTTCTCAATAGCTTATATACTATTTAGATTCTTTAATTATAGTTAACGTTGAGTTTTCTAGCTTTCTTTCATTGCTTTTAATAATACATATTGCTATGAGGTATAACATTTGGTTCAGGGCCTCTTTTAAGGATGTGTAACTGGAGAGAGGACATATTTAGCGGGGTTACCTGGAGAAGTTCCAGTCGGCAAGTCTGTATCGGCCTGTATCACTGCAGCTACCAGCATATATATGCATGGTTTAACTAATAAGTATATGTCATAGGGCAGCAAATCAGGCTATAACTAGGATTCTGAGACAACCGAGTCGACAACCGAAGCTGCGAGCCTCTAGAGGGGTCTGGGGGCATGCCCCCAGAAAATTTTGGATTTCTTGAAGCTCAGATAAGTTATTTCCAGCATTTTGAGCAGTTTTCAAGAAATTAACCTTACACTAGTCCCTGAAAATCAAACCAGCTGATCTTCTGGGACTGGTCAAATCGATCCCTGCAACCATGCATGCTGTTTTGCAACATTTTTTCCCCCACCAAATACTGGGGCAGGATATTTTTTCCCCCAGTTTGTTAGTGCAGGTATTTTTTTTTGTTCAGAATACTGTAGCCTTGCAGGAAATTTTTTTCAAAATCACCCCCCTCCTCAAAAGTTAAATGGTCGATCCTTTATATACGTGGGGGCTGGCCTTATATGCGGAAGACATTAGCTGTTAGTAATAATATTTCTTGTACCTGTAAACTATACCGTGAACGAAAAGAAATATAAACATACAGTATATAACACATAATAAAACACGTTGGTTAACATGTTATGATACTGTATATCTCCATCCAGCAAATATTTGTCTAATTAATGGATATATTCGAGACGTGCCATTGGTGTCCGTCACTATATACTACTCACTATTATTTCTTTATTTACATTTTAAGGGCTTGGAAGCACATAAATATAAAAGTTCTTGGGATTGTACTGTAAAGATAGCAAAGCATGAAGGGCCTAAAGCGTAAGTGTGCCTGAAATAATTGTATTGCCCTGTTTTTTGTAACAATTCCAGTGGCGAAACAGTAGCGATATTTACTGTATACATGACACTACAGTAGCTTGCGAGAAGGGGCTCTGGGGAGGGGGGAATCTGCAGAGTCTAGTGCTCGCAAGCTATACTACACGCATCTCGTCCGACGAATTCACATCGATTCGAAGAATGGTTGTCATTTTTTTTTTCTCCCGAAATCAATTTCAGTCGAGGTAATCACTGCCACCACCCAAATACCGGCGTTTGCGGTAGATTTAGCCAAGGAGACTGAATAACCTAAGCTTTGCTAAAAAATGTTTATTAGCTTGGTAATGCGTAAAAAATTGTGGCAGATGGTTTTCGAATCGGTAAATAGGGTGTTCATTTTCCCGCTCCGAATTCTTTCCGGCCTGGAGCCAGTCCATGAGGTAACAGCGTTTCCTGCAAGTGATTGGAGCCAATTGCAAACCGTCAGAGGGTCTTGCGACTTGTACATGCTAGCTAGCATAAAGTAGCATTTCAATATTTCCCAATTTTTTTTGCAGTACTGTACTTACCGATCAGACGAAGGGCCCTCGCTCGAAACGTCGAAATTTTCATTATCAACTATCAAGCCGTCAAGCTCTGAGTTATGTTTCCTATTGCCGAAATTGATTTTCTCAGGTCTAGTTGTTCAAATGTCCCCCCCCCTCCAGTGGCACGATCTCCCATCGCAACTAGCAAGCTAGGCTGTCCCCAACATGCTCCGGATGCTCCCTTCGTTCGCAGGGCTAACTACATGCAAACTATTTTTGGTTACCTGCAAGGTCACTTTCCGATCACATACAAACGAGGCTGAATATTAAAACCATAATTTAATGTATTTTTCGACAGGTTTTATAAAGGTACTGTGCCACGTCTGGGCAGAGTTTGTTTTGATGTGGCCTTTGTGTTCACGATATACGAACAAGTCATGAAAGTTTTGAATTATGTCTGGGTCACGGATTGAGCTGGCTTCATAAGAAGGATTCTACTGATATATAAACTTCAGTCCATCCGGGGGAAAGTATATATTTGCAAAGCACAACACAAATCTTTCGTGATTTTTGCCCAATGCTCACCTGCGAAGAGAGTAGTGCGATGAACAGCGGAGGAGAACAGTGAGATTTTATCAAATGATTAGGAATAATTTTATGTAATTATTATAAGATTTACTGACTAGTATTATTTTATTAAAATTTTGGAGAATCGATATGGGAAGCGTTTTATTTGGTGATGGAAATGTTGTTGTCAACATGTGGTATGCACTGGTTGTGGTGAAATACTGTCCTTTAACATTTTTCAAGCGGGTCCGACGTATAGACTTCAATGTGATGCCTGACTCGTCCCCAGTCGTCTCTGTGTTACTCTCTGCATGCCATTGCTACCTTTCCTGCTTCCGCCCGCGCTTGAAACACAGAGACGACTGGGGACGAGTCAGATATGATGCTAGCATCAAGGTCGCGTGACTGCGAATTCTCATACTCTCATCCCGTTTAATACTGGCTTAACTTTGACCTGTTCTTTTAATTTCTAGTATTTATAGAATGCCAACATCGAATTTTAGATCGTCTCAAAAAGCGTGAGAGGTCATCTCGAATTTTAGATCGTCTCAAAAGGTCTATTATGCAATACGCAGACTTCTGTGTATGAGCCTTCGCTTGAAATGTCGACGTTTGCTCTCATATTTTGAAATAGTTGCACTGTACGCACAAGGCCACATATTGTATTCTTCGTTACTGACGCTGCATGGTACAACAGCCAGTGTATAGTGTCGTGGTTTCTGGCTGCATGTATATACTACATGTAAAAAGACTGAAAACACTTTGTATGAGAAAAGGCGAAAAATTAGCAAGGAAATGGATGAAAATGTTAGAGTATTGCACTTAGTAGTTACAGTTAATGTTAAATTTGAATGTCACAGTTTGTAACTATATAGGTGACTGTTATACATACACTGCAGGTCTTTTAATAATAATAAGTCACCATAAATGCATTCAATATAGCTTTTAATCACAGTTTTGTTAAATCTACACAATATTTTCTAGATACGATTGAAATGGCGTTGTATATGGTCAATTGCGAACACTTAGGGCGAGGGTGAAGTGGTAATGGGGTGCTAGGGGTCCTACCCACCAAAACAATTTTCTGTCTCTGAAAGATAGTGGATTAACTATAAGTACCATAACTATAAGAAACTAAGTTAACTATAAGAAAATTAGCATTTAAATTTTATATATAAAG